GATTATGGCTGACCAGGACGAAGGCGTATGCTGTATAGAAAATAGTTCTAGTGTACTAACTTTGATTTGACACTCACCAACTTCAATTTCTATCAAAGCCTTAACGTAGACGAGCCCAAATAACAGGAGACATTCACTGTGTAGGCACCTTACTAGAACTGATCTTGATTACCTGAGAGTGTAAATGTCTACCAACTGTAACATGCTGAGGCGCATCAAAAACAAACATGGAAATTATGCTATAATAAGTAGAAAAACGCCACGGGGTTTCTCGTGCACCTGTGGGCATGTCTGATCTTAGCTAAATTCGGAAAATAGAAACCATTCGTGTGGGAATCCAAATCTATCTCACCATCAAGTATTACCTCATGCGTCCGTGCACGTTCATAAAAATACGAAACGCGTAGGAATTTCGGAAACAGAGACACGTAAGAGCTTCTCGGGATGTAGCTGAGACTTCCTTGGTCCTTTATGTAACCAACACAACACATCACACTTAAGATTAACAATTGCTTCATGCGCCAGCGAGCATTTATCAAGATTTAGAACCTACAGGAACTTTGGAGAGCTTATCGGAAATAACACGCAGATTATGGCTGACCAGGACGAAGGCGTAAGCTGTATAGAAAATAGTTCTAGTGTACTAACTTTGATTTGACACTCACCAACCTCAACTTGAATCAAAGCCTTAACATAGACGAGCCCAAATGACAGGAGACATTCACTATGCAGGCACCGCTTACCAGAACTAATCTTGATAGCCTATCGTTAAATGTTTACCTACTAAAACATGTTGAGGCGCATCAGGCACAAACGCGGAAATTATGCTACAATACTAAGGAGGAAAACGCCACAGGGTTTCTGGTGCACCCGAGGGCACATCTGACCTTATAAGAAACGTACTAAATTCGGGAAAGTAGAAACCGTTTGTGCAGGAATCCAAATTTTTCTCACAATCAACAATTGCCTCGTGCGTCTGCGCACGTTCATAAAAATATGAAACACGCAAGAATTTCATACAGGAGAACACGAAAGAGTTTCTCGCGATGTAGCTGGGACTTCGTCGGTCCTTTGCGCAACCAACACCGCACACTACACTTAAGATTAACAATTTTTCCATACGCCAGCGAGCATTTATCAAGATTTGGAACGTGCAGGACTTTTGGAGAGCCGAAATGACGCCAAATGGTTTCTCGTTCCGTTCATACACCCCCCCCCCCCCCCACATTCAACAACAGCAAGTTGATAACAAGTTAGGGTTAATATTGGGTTAGGAGAGGGGTAGATGGGCAGTTGCCCAGATACTGATATCGAGTCTATATCACAATCAACAATTGTTTCGTGCGACTGCGCGCGTTCATAAAAATATGAAACATTCAAAAATTCTGGAAAACAAGAAAACGCCAAAGAGTTTCTCGCGATGTAGCTGGGAGTAGGTTGACTGCACAGCCAAGGCATGAACAGATTGTTCTATTGGGGAACTTGAAGCGCCTGCCCAGTAATATCAATCCTCAAGTATGTCCAATACTACAGATCGATACAAGTGGTCTACTGTATACACAAGTCGTACGACCCGTGCTCCTCACTAGGGAGACCTAACAGTTTTTCACCTCACACCACTGAGCCCTGATGAGGGTGCGTCGATTCGTACGAGTCGTACGATTCGTCGACCATGAATATTCATTACGGAAACCATGGAAACGAGACGAATCGTAAGGCTGTGCTGTCTATCCATGTATGTCATTAGGGTGATTTTTTTCACCATAAAACCACCGCGCGAAACCATGGAAACGAGACGAATCGTAAGGCTGTGCTGTCTATCCATGTATGTCATTAGGGTGATTTTTTCACCATAAAACCACCGCGCGAAACCATGGAAACGAGACGAATCGTAAGGCTGTGCTGTCTATCCATGTATGTCATTAGGGTGATTTTTTCACCATAAAACCACCGCGCGAAACCATGGAAACGAGACGAATCGTAAGGCTGTGCTGTCTATCCATGTATGTCATTAGGGTGATTTTTTCACCATAAAACCACCGCGCGAAGTGCAAAAACAAGAAGATCCTCGCACTACTAAAAGTGCCATGCAAAGTGCACAAATATCAAGAGTATTTCTCGTTCTATAGGCACCGCGTGAAGTGCAAAAACAGCAACAGTCATCTTTAGAGGAAGATGTTTTTTTCGTCTTGTCATGAGCGTGGGACAAAGAAAAAAAACTGAGTCCCCATGAGGAATATTGCTGAATTTGTCACTAAACATAGCAATGTTTTGATTTGGTGGTCTGTACACGCAACCAACAACAATATTTTTTCCGTGGGGAACAATAATTTCCAAGAAAAGTGATTCAATTACATCTGGATCCGAAAATTTGCATTCTTCGAGAAGTTTTTTATTCAAGGCCGTTTTGTAAATAAATTCCATCTCCGCCGCTTGTATTCGATTTACGATGGTTGGAGACAAAATTGTATCCTGTGATATTTACGAGCTCTGCAGTGCAATCAGTTAGCCAAGTTTCTGACACACCAGTCACAGGGAACGGCATATTAAGATTTCTCAGCAACTTATTAAGTTGATCGAAATTTCTCATTAAACTTCGAGTGTTTAAATGTATAATAGATAAAGTTAGAATCGGGATTCAGATGACTAGAAAGCGGATTAAATAATTCAGGCCTATCAACAGGATTAAATAATAATGTTTCAAGACGGTCAGCATCGTAACTCAAGGGACCATGAGAAAATTCATAAACTGCTAAATTAAAGGAACTATCATCCAAGTGATTAAAAGGGAGGAAAGATTGAAAGGGTGTGTTGTCAGCAATCATAGAAGAAGCAAATTAAATTACAGACTAAGTTACAAATTCAGAGTACTTAGCTTAAAGGTAAGCTCTCTTGCCGAGCAAACCTTTCAAGAACGTCAAGGGTTTTGAACTGGATAGGGCGGGAGTCTTCGGTTTGCCGTAGATAGATGGTAAAGTTCTTACACCAACAAAACCGGAAGCCATTACAAGTTGTTGAACTTGCGCAGTTAGATGATCAAAAGCTTCACGTTCTCTAGTGTGCGATTGGCAGGTAAACCAATTGAAGAAGCTGTAACCTTGCATGCATCTTTCCATACGTTCATGACCGTCTCTTTACCAGTACTTCTTTTGAACTTGCAAACGACTGGTCTCGGGCCAGAAGTGGCGTTTCTGGTGGGAGTACGATGGGCAATATCGATATCTTGAATAGAAATTTCAACTCCTGCAGCTTAAAAGAGGCTAAGACATAGTGTAGTTGTGTCGGAGGCTGACTCACTTGTCTTCATTTCAGGGAGGCCGACGATCTCTATGTTGTATTGATAGCTGTAGCGCTGAATAAACTCGATGGATTTCCCAATCTCTTCCACTCGTTTAGACAGGACATTTAGGCGTGACCAGAGCTGCTGTAAACTTTTATCCGCTTCCTGGCGAAGGTCGTCGTAAGACTTGCCATAAAATTGGATGGTGTTCAAAGTCTCGTTCTGTGATATCGCCGGTCAACTCGCTTCGCCGCCATTGTTGGAGACATTAGCATCGTTGACGCTAAGTTTGAGCGAATTCTGAAAGTCCTCAAAATTTTTCTTTAGAACAGCAATTTCTGATTTGAGGCTTTCATTTTCTTTTTTAAGCGATTTAACATTCGGATTAGCCATAGTTAGGGAGAAAAAATTACATTAACGCGGAGCGATCAGATATTCGTCCCCACACCTCGCTCGCACATTGAACATTCCATATATATAATATAACTAGGTGCTTTTCTCTTTAAGTATCTATGACAAGAAAATTTTTTTCGCGTAAATATTTCGCTTATCATTTGTACAAACCAATTCCGACAGAATAAAGATTTAAAAAACTTAAAACTCGTTTTTTTCGGACCCTGAAGTGCTCTTATTTTGTCTTAAAAGTGTCCCGTGGACTGGTAACGAATTAGCGGGTGATGACGTAGAAAACTTTGAAAACTCTCCGTTGACAGTTATGAAATAGGTTGTTGTTCATCGTGGTAGTTGGATGATATTATAAGTTTGTTCTGTTGTCTCACGACAAAGTCACTTGATGTGGAACGCAACGTTTCGACTGCCTACTGCAAGTCTTCGACTGGTTGTCAGTCCGGGCCATAACCATTTCTGGATACTTGATGACGTCACCAACATGGATGTCGTAGTGGGACATCGAGGAAACTCACTCATTACTTTATTCGAGCCCTAGTGACTTGGTTCCCTACCCATATCCCATGAAACCTTGCAAAATTACAGAAGACAAGCAATTACACACAACAAGCAAAGAACTGATGGTGATCGCGATGACGTGAGGGAAAAATTCAGATGAAAAGTCGGGTGGAGGTCCATGTTGCGAAGGGCTCGATCGAGGAATAACCTCTATTTAGTTGAGGTTTTCAGGTATGCAACATTTTTTTTGATTCCTAAAAAATATCTTCTAAAAAACTAGAATAAATTTGCTTCCAATTTGTCAAAATTCCAATCGAGTGCACGAGTTTTTTGCTCGAGTGCACAAATGTTGAAAGTCTGTTAGTGTGCAAACTACCAGACGGATTCCTTTGTTCAGATCCATCGAAGTATCGTGTAAACCATAAATTTTAACCATACGTTGTGGCCGGCCAATTTAAAGTAAAAGGACAATTATTTATCGGACCTTTATAAGCCTACATTGTGAATTTCAGATCAAGCCAACAGCATGGATGAACACATTCAGTATCTCGAGACACTTTGTCGTCTTTGTGGCACAAATCTGCCACGGACCTGGGTCAGTGCTACAAACGAAGAATCTTTTCAATCGGAGCTCTGGATGAAATTTCGAATCAATGTCGATCTTGACATCAGAGAGATTCATTCAGCTAAGGCGAATGCACACTAAAAAATAATTTCAGGAAACCACGGATCTAACACATAAACGTGATTATCCAGCGAGTAAGTTCTCCTTCGGGCAAACATAAAACAAAGAGGTATTCATTCACTGAGCTCTCACATCTTCAGGTATCGTATCCGGGAAATGTGCGATAAGAGCGGCATGAAGATGAAAATAAAAAAATCACATTGGTGGAAAGCCTTGCCGAAGTGTCTCTATTACAGCATTCCGGAAACAAAGGTTGGAGTTTAACTACACGAACTGATGAGAGTGAAATTTTCGTCTAAAACCACAAGGGACTTGTCTGTAATTGTGAAACTCGTTTAGAAACACCGCTCGTGCTTTCACATTTTGCAGTGATTACCTAAACAAACTTTCTATACAGGGTGTTCAAATCAAAGGGTAATTGTAAAGGACATATTATTGCTGACTAAAAGCTGTAGGACCGAATTTGTAGTGTTCTGAGACCTAGATTCTCCCGCGAATCGATCAATAGCGCGCAAAATACCTTGTATGATTCTCTTGCATTGAATTCGATCATGTGTATTCGTCTTAATATAGATTGTGACTACTTGATTTTATTTTATCCCACTCATGTATTTATTGGAGTTTATTTTCCAGGTATCATAATTTCAAGATCAAAGCTCCACGTGGAACACCGCTTGTTATTCAAAGTGAAGACGACAACACGTATGACTCGCATGCACTGGCTTGTCTTCTTCCACTAGAAATGGAACGCATTCCAGAGGCTCTACGAGAAGTCCAGATTTTCAGCAGATCGCAGAGAAAGACATACACTTTAGGAGATGTCAAAGGGCAGCAGATCGGCACGGTTCAGCACTTTCTAAACATACAGCTGCATGCTTTGCTTCGATGTGGCAAAATAACCAGGAATTGAAGGGTAAGTTACTGTTTTCTTGCTTTACTGTTACTTTTTCGTAAAGGCTTGATGGACTGAAATTGATAATGTCTATTTAAAAATCGGAGAGAAGCAAGATATTGTCTTTCCTCGACCTATACTGGAGAGAAATGAAATTGTCCCGATTCCGCGATCTCACACCTCACTCGTCCCAATTGTTATCAGTGCGCGTTATTTGGTTCAACCTTATTTAATTGGTTTTCTTGTAACCCAAAATAGGGAAATCAACGGACAGTAACATCGAGGCCAAGCTCTACCCAGAAGTTCTCCAGATACAAACAGGCTGGCGGAGGAGCTTTTATTCCTGTGACGCTCTTGGTGGAAGGACCACAGCCTTACAAAGAATTTGTGCTAGAAAGAATCCGCTTTACTCTTCCAGAATGCGAGAATGTCGGGGACATGCATGTTGAATGTCTGAAATAAACGAATATTTTTAATGGTATCTTACATCCAGTCCTTATTGGCGAATTTTTTTCAGCTTACTACCGCATTACAACATGGCCGCCACAAAAAAAAAAAAAATCAGCTTCTTCTTGTTTCCAGCACCTCTCGGCCAAATTTGCTTTGTTTTGGTTTTGATCTCACCCAATCACAAAGCTCGAAACCGATATCCAGAAATGGTTATGGCCCGAACTGGTTGTGGCACGGCATTATGTATCATGGTGGTTTGTTGTAATTGGTGCATTTCTATCCGGCTGTTGTTTCCTTGTACCATGGTTTCCTCAGGCGTTCGCTGGTTTTTCGTGCGTCGTTGGTTTAGATGTTTTCTTATTGTAGGCATCCACGCTTCCGGTATTTCGGTTCCGTTGTCCTGTTTATGTTGTTTGGGTTGAGTCTTAAGTAAATTGCCTCTTTCACTTTCCTTGTGTACTAATGGCTGACACTTACAAATCTCTCACATCTCTTGTAATTTTGTATCGGTCAGCGTTGAAATACTCTTGAAATAATGTTCGATAGCGACGTATACCTACCTTCAGCAAGTTGTACCGAGAGCTTCGATACACCGTACTCAAGTAGTAAAGAAGAAATGGAATTAAGTTGCGGGTCCGATTCAGCCCTACGAAGGAGAACCGCGTACATCAAACGAAGATTTCGACGAAGACTGACTAAGACGGTTTCTCGCGAGCGGTGTTCAGGTCAAGATTAGAAAAAACAACTCCCGTTTCTTAATTTTTAGTTTGTTTCGTTTGTGTCTCGTTTTCTTCGGCGTAATCTATGACAAGAATGAGTAGCTGTTTTCGTTTTTGTTGACATAACATTTTATTCCTTCGCGCTAAGTGCGGCGAAGGTTCCCCTTGGTCAGTTCTCTTGAGTTTCGTTGCTGTAGAATGATTTCCTAAGCTAACCACAAGCTAACTTTTGACGAAAGAATCGGCTGCATCACGAGGCACGATGATTTTTTGCCGAGAAGTCATCGGGCAGTTTCATTGCAATTTGCTTCTTTCCTCAAAGATTGCAAAGGCTGAGTCGGTCGTCGTCGAGCCGGTCAAACGGAAAACGAGCGAGTTAATCTGACTCAAGTTAACCTCAAATAAAGATTTTAATTGAGATAATTTCTTTAGTTTAAGTACAGCATTGTCGTATGACCCATTTCGCTCAATGGCAAATAACTGGCTTGAGTATTGTCAATTAATATTTCATATGCATCGACTTTCACACAGAGCTTGGATTCGCTACCATCTAAATCAATCAATTTTTTTGTTTCTTTATTTATCTCGTTGGAGTGCTGTTATCACATTGATATTGCTATTGTTACTACTTTTAGTTTCTTGAGGACAGGGGGAATTGATAGCTCGCGGGATTTATTTTCGGAAACTTAGGTTAGAGGAAATACACGGCCCTTTCGAGCTTGTGATTATGCTAGTATCCGCCAGAGGTTTCACACTGTTCACACAACAGGATATCGGCCAGTTCAGGATAGGGCTTGAACTTTATCACAAATTATGTATTTCTGGTAACAAAATAAGATGGAAACTACAACTAGTAGGATTTTCATACGGTAAGAAAAGCGCAAATGTAGTCATGTGGAAAGACGAGGAGTATGAGTACACCTCCTTCGCTTGAAATAAACCTGAACGATAAGGAGCTCACCATTCTTCGCTTGCAACATGTCAGTCGAAAATAATGTTGAACAATCTTTCACGTTGGAACAGGCTCCTTAATCAGCATTCTTTTACGCTAAATCCTTTGGTTATCTTTCCCTGATTCTTCTAGTGGTACGTGTTCGTAACAGCCGCCTTCAGAGCCGGTACGGAGCATAAGGCCAACGATATTCAGTAAAGAGTAAAATCTCCTCGATGTCGACGATCGAAACGCGTCCATTTGGCCATGCAGCTACATCCTTTGGAAAGTAGTGTATAGAAATACCCGGTATATGTGTATTATTCTTGTGGCTAACATCATTTGGCACTCCGGCCACGCAATACGTTCGTCCTATCTTCTAGATTTCTCCTTTCTCCACCATAGTTGCTGACGTGTCTTCACAGTTTTCTACGTCACAACGATGTAACATGATCGTTTTGGCCGCGCCCTTAATGGGGACACTTTTTGGCCGCCAAATCGTACTTTCAATGCACAAAAAAAGGGTCGAAGAGAAATCGCCAGGCGCTTAAATCGATTATTTCTAATTTTGAATACAGCTCTTAACCAAAAAGTGCAAAAATAATTTCGTGTTGTAAGCGCTTTAACACTCGCGTAACTGGTAACGCAACAATCGTGGCGCAGAGGAAGGAGGAGAAGCAAATGCCCGATGACGAATGTTCTGAGATATAAGGACGATGGAGATGAGGAAGATTAAAAATCAAAAACGAATTATCCGTTAAGCTACAGTTATACAGTTGAGACATTATGAAGTCATTATTTCTCCATGTGAATTGGGTTCTCTTATTCACGCAAATTAAGAAACTTTAAGTACTCTTATTTTTCAAATATTCCGTTTCAATTATACCCTTCTTAAACTTAAAGGAGCGTTTGAAGATTGAAAAGTAATTATTTTACTTAAAACGCACAATGCTTTATTTCAAACAATTTCGCTTCATTATGTGTTAGAAGAATCGTTTCTTAATATCCAAGATGGTGGATGCAACAAGGCGGATTCAAGATGACGTACGGATATTTATGAAGATATGTTGTCTTTATAGCGACGTGATCTAACCTAACTATTGGTTGTGAATCTGTTATTATTTTCTACTTACATTCCGTGAAAATTTTGCGAGATCAGAAAATAAACAAAAATATTTCAAAATTCTATGTTTTCACCTCAGCATATTTTAGCGTTTAGCGTCATGGGAAAGAAATCATTGAAACTCTAATAATTTTGAACTCAGAATTTTAAAATCTCACCTGGAAGAAACTTCTGCTATTATTAATCAATCCTTTGGTAGAATTTCTCAATTCAGATGGTAGTTGGATATATGATGATCCTTTCAGAGGATTGTATTGAAGAATGTTTATCCATTGGCCATAAACTGATTTGATAGTCCAATCAGAGCCTTCTGATATCAAAGTTGCAATCTTATTTTGAATATCTTGACCTGAAATCATCAGATTATCTTTAAAATCAGTAATGTTGATCACTGTTTGGGGTGAACTGTTAAAATAAGCTATTTTATTGATTACACGATCTTGTGACATCTTTTCAAATGTGATACTCAAAGTCTCAACAGAATTTAGACCTTTCATTTCAACCATCTGTTGTGTGAGTCTGGATTGAATGGCTTTTCTTGTTTCAATACTCTGTTTTAATTGATCTTTATCATTTCTCACACGAATTTTAAATGATGTGGTATATATCCTTTCAGAGCTTTACTTTTCTCCTCTATTTCTGTTCTTCGAACTGTAATTGGTGCCTTTTTTGTCCTTGGTTTTGGTGTTGGTTTCCATCCATCTCTGAATTCAGTTGATATAGGCATATTGTTACCCTCGTATTCTTGCATCTGTTTGACACTTTTTCGTAGTGCTGAGATTGGTCTTGTTCTTGATTTTAGTGTTGGTCTTTCTAGTTCAATATTTTGTTTCAACAACAGTTTTATCAACTGCGATTTGGTTAGTTTTTCCAGATCTTTATTGTTCAACATATTATTAGATTGCATAACCACATCCACTATACTATACTAAAATATTTTATTTTTAAATCTCGAATGATGGTTTGTTTAAATAATTTGAAATAACGTCGACGAAAAAATATCAATTTCACAACAAACCTTGCGCACGGAAGTTAATCGGTAGATTTTATTACGTATTTCACGGTTGTTCAAACAAAAACTTACACTTTCCTCGTATCAACATTACCCGAGTCTATTTTTGACAACACAGCGGCGAAAAAGCAATAATCTCTCTCCAAAATCGTTAGTTTGAACGTCAGAACAACCATACCATTCATTTCTTTCTAGGGAGCGGCAATTTTTGCCCCGTGACGATTCCAGAAGTTTGTGTGCAAACACAAGGATCCGATTGCTGGCAACTCATTTATTGTTTAAGTTGCCATCTGTCGTTATGCACAGATTTGAGCTGCCAGTCGTTGCGATGACAAATTGGTTTTGCGGTTTAGTTTTGACAAAACTTATATTTGCATTGGCTGGTGTCGAGAATAAAAAATTCTTCACTTGCCCTCTGGAAAATCCGACACAGTTTCTGGACCCAGACCACTTAGCCCTTCGTCGTCGACATAACTTTTCTTCAAATGTCTCGTATATGACTAGCAATGAAAGATTTCGGAAATTAAAGTGATGGGAAGATGACAGTTTTCTGTAATCTAAGATTAGTTCTTTTAAAAAAGCTGAAGTCACCGTTTTGCACAAGTAAGGCTTGGTTAAAAAAATACTCTGTGGTTTTACTTATTCGCAGAATATTTCCCTATCTAGAAGACTTTCTTCTAAACTTAGATAAAGATTCAGACCTAGATGAGCCACTGGTAGGTTTCCCTGAGCACCGAGCAATCAGTCCTGTCACATTTTCTCGGGTCACTGTTTTTCATTAAAAAGTTTCATAACAAAAAGTTAATTGATCTATTACTATATTACCCTGAGAGGATATTTACTCGAATTTTATATCACGCGGTTGTCATATGGTGTTGATCAAGAAAATTAAGAGATATCTACAGACTTAAAGCTGAGTAACAATTCTGGCAACATAGAGAGGTGCTAAAGACCTACACTTGAGCGTTTGTCAAAAATGCCTCCCCATTTTACCTGCAATAACTGTGGTCATCCAAACAGTGGAAACCAATCGAAAAGCAGAAGTGAAAAACGGATGAAACAAACGGAAATTCAGCCTTTCAAATGACTTGCCTTCATGCTGGAACTTTACTCAGTTTCTGAAGCAGGGTGTGACTGCCGCTATCTTCAAATTACTTTAATTTCCGATTTCTTTCAGTGCGAGTCATATAGGGGACATCTTAAGGAAGAGTTATGGCGACGAAGGGCTAAGTGGCCTGGGTCCAGAAACTGTGTGGGATGTTCCAGAAGGCGAGTGAAGAATCAGTTTTGATGCTCAACAATAAACATAATCAAGCACTCGTGTTTGCGGAAAGTGACGGGAACGAGCGTGTGAGAGGACGCACGCGCGAGAGAATTCGAAAGAAATCAGCAAAATTACCTCTGAACCTTCAACTTTTTTCTCTCAGATATGAGTTCTCGCTACTCTCGACCCACCAACATGGCCAGATTCTAGTGGATCCTTTAGTCTCTCAAGGGAATTTGATTGAATTCATACCCTCCTAGATTTTTAAACCAAACCTGCATGACTCTGTAAGCCTAAGGAAAGGAAATTGCATAAAATATCACGGAACGAGCGTGTGAAAGGACGCGCGTGAGAGATTTCGAAAGAAATCGGCAAAATTACCTCTGAACCTTCAGCTTTTTTCTCTCAGATATGAGTTCTCGCTACTCTCGACCTACCAACATGGCCAAACTCTAGTGGATCTTTTAGTCTCTCAAAGGAATTTGATTTTTAAACCAGACCTGCATGACTCTGTAAGCCTAAGGAAAGGAAATTGCATACAATTTTCCAAGTTCCAAGACCCCATGAATTGCAGAAAGACTTAATTCCATTATTTCCCTCCTCGAATAAAGTTGTTGCTTGAAATCTATTGCAAGTTATTCGAGAAATTCTTGGCTACTCTCAGAAACATAAGTTGAAGGGAGGGGGGGAGGGGAGGGAGGGGGAGTCAAACTGTAATTTGTCGCTTAACCACCAACAAATAAATAAACAAGTATAAAAGTTTCATCCTTAGTTTTTACACTTTGTTACTTATTTTTTAGAGTTCGTCGGGATGATGCGCAACCCTTCTGTGTCACAGGATTCCATTACAAAAGAAACAGATCTGGTTAATGACGTGGATTAGATGTTCGTTTCAAGGTTCTGAAACCAAACGAGTAGTCACGGAAACAATTTATCCATTGAAGATTAACATGCTTAGGTCTGGCCTCTGACTTGAAAAGCGCAAGACACCAATTTATCGTCCAACAGTTGAGTGAAATCACCACGCGCTATGCTCTTCCTTCTCGACCTCTTTGATTCGACGAAGTTGTCGGCTTCGCTAGCGAATGACGCTTGAGTTTGAATTCCATAAAGAAGACAAACTTAAGGGAGCTCTGACTCTTTCTATTAATAATTCGTTTAAGGTATAACTTAGTTTTTCTAAAGAAAATAGAGAAAAGGAGCTCGTTTAAAAGTTTGGTGAATTTTACATAAAGGAAAGAAACTTTGCTTTCCTCAAGTGTCAATTATTCAATGTTCAAGACGGTGGTAGCTTTTACCATATTTTTTATTACCACGCTGTATTATACTGATGATAAAATTTGAAGTACGAGCTTGACATTCTGGTGCTACTGTCAAGTAAAAATGTATTAAAAGCCAACTGAGATACAATAAATGAGTCGCGTTAAATGCACGGGGAGCTTATTTAAGTCTAAGGAAGACCGTGGATGGGTGGCTCTTATTCGATTGAAGGCGTAATTTGATATGATTGTTTTTATTTACCTATCATTTTTTAGCCATGACCTCTGCATTCAAACAACAACTGAAAGGTTACGATTGATACTCTCAGATTCTCAGTGTTTACGAGCGTTCAATCGGGTTTTTCCTCTTTTTTTTTCGGTTGTTTTTACTTCGGAGTGCGCGGAAATCTGCTGACATATACGAAAAATATCAGTTTCTCGTCTTTTTTGGAGCGACCGATAGAAACTTCACGGAGAAATACAGCGTCACGCCATCGTGATAACGTACATGTTTATGACAAATGACCGGTGTGAGGATAGTTTCATGTAGATCAGCCGACTTAACATGTTTCAAATGACATACAAGTATAACAGTGTATCTTCAGAGGAATTCAGATCGCTCAAATTCACATGAAAGAAGGTGCAGCACTCGGAATCTGGATGATATGCACACGATTTGAGGTATATGTTTGTAGTTCCGTCGATTAGTCCTCCATGAAGGTTGATCAATTTTTTTTAAAAAGATGACAACCAGTGGCGAGATTTCTCTCAGGATATTGCTCATAAGATGACATTCTTTCAAAGCTTTACGTGTTTCATTTTTCTGAAACATTTGTTGTCGAGAACATTCGATGTTAACATAGCCAAATTATGCAATATCTGATTTTTGAGCTTCGTTCGCGAATTGCTCCTATGGAAAGTAGAGGCAGGCCCGCAGAGATTTAAACATTTTTAAAAACTAGAATATTATAGCCAGCTATGTGGTTAGTCTCAGTTCCAGAATCGGTGTACTTTTGGAGAAATTCAGATAAACGTTTTCCCTGTTTTACCCGACAACAAAGATGACCGGAACTGTACCGAAATGAATCATCTGTTAGTGTGTTCAACTTCACTCCCAGGGAAAATTGACTGTATCAATGTCAAGATGAATGATGTTACTATGTATGGTAGAAGTGCCAATTTGTTATGTTGTATTTAGCTTGAGATAGAGAAATAAACATTTCACTCTTTTTTTTGCAACGTTTTTGTATGAAAATGAGGCCTCAGGCCTCGAACAAGCAGCCGTTGTTACCATGGCAACAAGAGTGCTGCGCCCTTTAAAAAGATCATTTTTGTGCATCCCCCCTGAGCGCCTAACTGCATGTAAAATTTGAAGGGGGGTTGAAAATTTTCATTTCCCAAGATTTTTTATTCTTACAGAGACTTGTTCTTAACCTCATACCCACGTTTCTTCCAAGTTTCTTCCACTGACACACAGGATGTGAGTAAGTGTTATTGATTTTACGAGTAAAATATTCATAATTCGAAATATTTACCGTTGTAAATCGACCATATTTCGTTCCCCCTACTATTCCTTAGAACGTGATGAAATTTTCAACGGTTTCTCTTTTTTCCTCTCTTTTCAGTAACGATACCATTTCACTCCAGACGATACTATTCAAATAAATCAAACTTAATTGAGCAAAAAACTGGCAATGCTCAAATTGTTTATTGTAAATTTCGTAGTTTTTTATTTGACAAGGGAGACATCTTAATCAACCCATCATCTCAAACGGTTCGTCAAGGTAAAAAACCGATCACTCAGATTATCACAAAATTATAATCTTCGAAAGAAAAACCCAAAAGAGCCTTTGCAATTGCTTTATTCTAATCTAATCCAATACAATGTTTTTTGCTGTTAAACCGAATAAACTGAAAACTCAAAAAGATACTTTTTACTAACAACTTCTTTCGTCTCGAGTAACGAAGTATCGATGACAGGTGTTGAAAAAAAACATTAAAAAACTATGAAGGAATGTTATTTTGTTCAGCTAAAAAAATTTGTTAACTTTTCGGCAACTGTAAAGTTTTGAAAGCACCTGAAGTTTTCCTTTGAACTCCTCCTTCTCAGTCAGTGTTCTTCATCATCCTCTTCTTGGCTTGAATTTCTTATTTGTTTCTTACGACCAGCACCATCGTCAGAATCTGGGAGGGTTTTCTCGGCAGCGGTGTTCAACTCGTTGACAACTTGGTACAACTGCTCTCCAAATTCAGCCATTGAATGAAGCTGTTTTACTGCGTCGGGAATATTTTCCTGGCCAATCGTACGTGTGAGCTCGTATAGCAAGACTTCCGGGCTCACCTTTTTGAGGTCAACAACAGCAGCTTGTGTGCAGTAGCAGAACCCATTCCGACGTTCATCTTCAACTCCTTTGGATGAAAACTCGTATTTGTAAAACATAACATCGATTCGCAAGAGGGCGTTATCGCTAAAGACGATGTGGTAATCGTTCTGCTCACTTACGCCAGCCTGAGTGTTTCCCAAGAACTGGTTGAGGGCCACGCCGATGAGGCTCACAAGACCCTGTATGATGTTTCCACCAAACATTTCTTTGATCGATGTAGTTATGGCATCATCAGGCGCGTTCGACACGTCGACAGAATACTTCTCTGATGTGTCGACAAACGCCACAATCGGGACATTAGCGTCTTTGAGCGCCTTTTCCCTCATCTCTGCTCTGGCGGCGGCAACTTTATTAACCATCATCTCTTGCAGCATCTGCAGCTCTTCCACGGCTTTCTCGTCCTTGTTTTTCTGTTGTTCCTCAAGTTTTTTCGAAATGGATGTTCCCATGATCTAGATTTTATCAAGAAAGAACAACTTAAGCTGGTGATTGAAACCATAAACAATACGCGTTTCATAAATCAGTGAAATGAGCATACTACAAATCAGGAATTTTTCCCATTTCGTTCCCGGATATTTTTTCGATTTAAACATGTCGTCGCATCTTTTTTAAAAATTTATGTGTACTTGAAGAATATACCAGGAATCTTAGATCGTAATGATACAAGCCACATTTCTGATTCAAGTTCCATTGGAATGTTCCAACTCGACGAAACTGCAGAAAACCAGCCGCAGAGTGCGTATCTTTTTTAAAAATTTATGTGTACTTGAAGAATATACCAGGAATCTTAGATCGTAATGATACAAGCCACATTTCTGATTCAAGTTCCTTTGGAATGTTCCGACCCGACGAAACTGCAGAGAATAACTCATACAGAGTTTGTTGAATCAGAGTTCCCAACACGAAAACCAGCCGCCGAGCGCACCAATCTCAGCGAAAGGCACCAAGGACTCTATGCCTCAGTACCTGTCAGTTATTCTTTATTATCCTTACTTTTCTGCTAACCTCTACTGACAGCGGATTGACCCTTTTTGGAAGATTAATTTTTCCCGTAGTAGAACCGTTACCACAATACTTTCAAGAGAATCTCAAGAGTGAATAAACGAACGAACTAACAGGAATATATCTAATGCTTCCGGACATTATTTCATCTTTGACTGAGAAAACCACACTAGGAACTTTGTTGAGGTTCCAAATCAAGGACGAAATCAGTGAAAAAATAACTAAAATCACTTATTTCAGAAGACTTACAGAAGAACTACAAAATATGATCAGAGAAACCTATACGATACCAAACACTAAAAAGAAAGTATATGATCGCATGACAGGGTCACTTCAAGCAAGGACATCGTGATTCAAGTTCGAAGAATCCGGTAACCAACCGGGACAATCAAACTAGGAAACCCATTTTGATCAGCAACAACCTCAAACTTTGAATTGAGATTCTGGCTAAATTCGTGAACACAAATTACTAAATCATAACTAAGTAACTAGTAATTTAGAGCCTTAATTGTTTGAAGTGTGGCAAAAGGTCTAGTTCGCGTCTTCGGTTTGTTTGTTTATTCATTCTGTTTTGTTTCAAAAAGTTTCCTTGTCGCTCAACCAAACTAACAAAACACTTTAGCCCAGCGTTGCTTGCACCACTTGTCCCGACCTTCACGTACTTTAATCAGTTTCAATCTGGTTTAGGTACAGCTGTTGTACAGTTCAGGAGAATGATTAATAAAAATTATTTATGAAAATGATCTATGAGAGAAAGCGATTAATTTCTAAAAGACGGCGTAAAACCTCTTCGTTCTAAACAACCCAAACAGACAATTAACATCTATAGACCAAGTCACGAAAGAGAATATTCTATCTCAAACTTGATAGTAATTATGATTTGTTTCACTTAATGTATTGTCTTTTCCACGCACGACAGCAATTTCGAATATTTTGGAGTCACCCTTCACGTTTTTCTGACCAGCTTGAGCAATTCTGATTTGTTTTCGAAGACCGGGAGAGGATAAAAAGGAAAATCCATGAATAAGAAAAAAAAATCTGAAAGCTTTGATAGTCGTCATCTTACGCATCGCTTTGAGAAAGACTGCTCCATTCCAACAATGTTCATGACTTTGAACAGGGTATGAAGTTTTGAACCCACTTAAAAATGCACTGAAGTAATTCCTGTCTTTCTCAATGCGATGCTTAAGATGACGAGTGTCAACGTCATCTTACGCATTGCGTTGAGAAAGACAGGAAGTACTTCAATACATTTTAAAGTGGGTTCAAAACTTCATACGTTGTTCGAAGTCATGAACGTTGTAGGGAAGGAGCTCAAAGACATGTTTTAAATGTTAATTTCAAAACTTAAGACCTTTGGAAACAAAAGGACAATGTACTAGTGATAGATCCAGCTTGGATAAAATCGTTTAAAGTACGTCACCACTTAGCTATCAACTGTTAAGAACAACTGAGAAATCCGTGCCCGAGACTCAGCTCTTTCACTTATACAGTTCAAGTAGCCCAAACAGTAACCGTGGAATGTTTGATCAAGTTGTCTTGTCGAATTGGCGGAGTTTTAGCCTTTTAACAATTTTGGTCTTCCATTGTATAAAGAATAGCAGTTCACCTTAGACGAAGATTATGGCTGACTGCGACGAAAGTGTAAGATGTATAAGAAATAGTTCTAGTGTACGAACTTTGATTTGACACTCACCAACTTCAACTTCAATCAAAGCCTTAAGATTAACAATTGTTTCATGTGCCAGCGAGCATTTAACAAGATTTGGAAGATGCAGGAATTCTGGAGAGTCGATCAGAAATAACGCGCAGATCATGACAGGAGACATTCACTGTGTAGGCACCTTATTAGAGCTGATCTTCATAGCCTAAGATTGTTAAATGTCTACCTAATGAAACATGTTAAGGTGCATCAGGCAAAAACATACAAATTATGCTATAATAAGAAGAGAAAAGGCCTAAGAGTTTCTCTGGCACCCCATGGCATCTGTGACCTTATAAGAAACGTGCTAGAATGCGGAAAATAGAGACCGGTCGTGCAGGAAGCCAAATCTATCTCACAATGAACAATTGCTTCATGCGTCCCCGCGCACACATAAAAATATGAAACATGCAAGAATTTTGGAGAACAGAAAAACACGAAAGAGTTTCTGGCGATGTAGCTGGGACTTCCTCGGTCCTTTGCGTAACCAACGCGGCACAACGCACTATAGATTAAGGGCCTGTTTACATGGAGGTAGGGGACCCCAGGTAGGTGAGGTAACCCGCCTACGTGGGGTAACCCGCCTGTCCATATAATTTCTTATTTTATTTTGAGCAGGTTTACATGATAGGTGGGGTGACCCGCCTAGTTGGATTGCCCGGTCTGCCAGGTATGGTAATCCTGTCAGCCGGGAAAACAATTTGCCATGTAAACGTGTCAAGGTGGGGTAACCCGCCTAGCCGGGGTCGCGGTTCATGGCAAAAGCTCAAAAGCGAAACATGTATGTTTTAAAACTTTGTACATTTCCTAACCGTCTCATGGCAGAAATTACCAGAAACCGAAACGGACACACAAGGAGTGTAAAATGTTCACATTTCGGAATATTTAGCGGTGTAAATCGACCATATTTGGCTTCCCAAACTATTCCGTATAACGTATTAAGTCAACGGTTTCTCGCGAAAGCAAACACCGCGTAACACAACCCATGACTCTTTCATGAATAAATACATATATGTCTGAGAATTAATCCTTCGTCTTTTCCGAGATGTGAGCTTGGGACGCCTCTGCTCAAACTCCTTAATTGCAAGCGCAACAAACAACCTCAAGAAGCCTCACCTCAGCACCCCAAGGTTGTAAGATTGCACGTAGACGCGTTTTATTCTTCGACCACGGCTAGGCGGGTTACCTCACCTAACAATTGTTTCATGCGCTAGCGAGTATTTATCAATATTTGGAAAATGCAGGAATTTTGGAAAGCCGAAATGGCGCCAAAGAGTTTCTCATACCGTCCGTACACCCGAGAGCACTGCTGACCCTATAAGAAAAGTGCAAAAATTCAGGAAAATAGAAACCGTTCGAGACTAAAGACGAATATATCAGTGTAGGAAACCAAATCTACCTCACAATCAACAATTGCTTCATGCGTCTGCGGGCGTTCGTATTGTAAGTCAGTGACTGTTTGTTTCCTGTCAATTCTGCAGAAAGGAGTGACGTCACTTGATAACGTGATGATACCTGTTCAGCTACTCATTAGGCACTGCTATTATACACAAGGTTAGTTTTCAAAAATGCATGGTAGCATTACTCCGCCCGAGTGGTACCGAAAGGTCATTTCATGGACTATAACAATTATACTTCGCTTGCATATAGTTTTGGTAAACATAATCTTTATGATGATAGAGAAGTCGACGGTTACACGCTTAGGAAAAGCGTACCATGAACATGACCCCTTGCGTGACTGCCTTTCAACGGCTCCCATTGCATTTTTTGTTTGTTTGTTTGTTTTGTTTTTTTGCTAATCTCTATTGACAGCGGATTGACCTTTTTGGAAGATTAAGCTTCTCTTATCAGAACAGTTACCCCAATACTTTCACGAGTATCTCCCGAACGAACAAACAAACAAACGAACAAGATGGTAGTTAGTGCTTCCGGTCATTACTTGATCTTTGACTGCGAAAACCAAAACAGGAACTTCGGTGAAGTTTCAAACCAAGGTCAAAATCGGTTAAAAAAATAACTAAAATCACACATTTCGGAGAAACCTCAACGATACCAAAAACTCAAAAGAAAGTACTTGACATGATTATATCGGGCAAGGACATCATGGTTCAAGATAACAAGGAAAGGTCATAAATAAGAAAAAAAAATCTGAAAGCTTTGATAGTCGTCATCTTACGCATCGCGTTGAGAAAGAGAGGAAGTACTTCAGTGCATTTTTAAGTGGGTTCAAAACTTCATACCCTGTTCAGAGTCATGAACATTGTAGGAATGGAGCTAAAAGACGTGTTGTAAATGTGAATTTTAAAACTCTAGACCTGGAAACAAAATGTTAATGTACTACTGACATATCCAGCTTGGATAAAATCATTTAAAGGACGTCAGCACTTAGCGATCAATTGTTAAGAACCCCTGAGAAATCCCTGCCTGCAACTCAGCTCTTTCGCTTATATATTTAAAGTAACCAGAACAGTAGCCGTGGAACGTTTGATCAAGCTGTCTTGTTGAATTAGTGGAGTTCTAGTCTTTAAACAATTTTGGTCTTCCATTGTATAAAGAATAACAGTTCACCTTAGACGAAGATTATGGCTGACTGCGACGAAAGTGTAAGATGTATAAAAAATAGTTCTAGTGTACTAGCTTTGACTTGACACTCACCAACTTCAACTTCAATCAAAGCCTTAAAGTAGACGATCCCAAATGACAGAAGATATTCACTGTGTAGGCACCTTACTAGAACTGATCTTGATAGCCTAAGAGTGTTAAATGTCTACCTATTGAAACATATTGAAGCGCAACATCCTTTGCGTAACCAATGCGACACAACACACTTAAGATTAACAATTGCTTCATTTGCCAGCAAGCATTTAACAAGATTTGGAACATGCAGGAATTCTGGAGAGTCGATCGGAAATAACGCGCAGATTATGGCAGGAGACATTCACTGTGTAGGCACCTTATTAGAGCTGATCTTCATGGCCTAAGAGTGTTAAATGTCTACCTACTGAAACATGTTAAGGTGCATCAGGCAAAAACATACAAATTATGCTATAATGAGACGGAAAACGCCAAAGAGTTTCTCTGGCACCCCATGGCATCTGTGAACTTATAAGAAACGTGCTAGAATGCGGAAAATAGAGACCGGTCGTGCAGGAAGCCAAATCTATCTTACAATGAACAATTGCCTCATGCGTCCCCGCGCGCACATAGAAATATGAAACATGCAAGAATTTTGGAGAACAGAAAAACACGAACGAGTTTCTGGCGATGTAGCTAAGACTTCCACGGTCCTTTGCGTAACCAACACAGCACAACACACTTTAGATTAATAATTGTTTCATGCGCTAGCGAGTATTTATCAATATTTGGAAAATGCAGGAATTTTGGAAAGCCGAAATGGTGCCAAAGAGTTTCTCATACCGTCCGTACACCCGAGAGCACTGCTGGCCCTATAAGAAACATGCAAAAATTTAGGAAAATAGAAACCGTTCGTGACTCAAGACGAATATATCAGTGTAGGAAACCAAATCTACCTCACAATCAACAATTGCTTCATGCGTCTGCACGCGTTCATAAAAATATGAAACACGCAAGAATTCTGCCGCTTGTAAAGAATATTGTAAGTCAGTGACTGTTTGTTTCCTGTCAATTCTGTAGAAAGGAGTGACGTCATTTGATCACGTGATGATACCTGTTCAGCTACTCATTAGGTTCTGCTATTATACATAAGATTAGTTTTCAAAAAATGCATGGTAGCATTACTCCACCCGAGTGGTACCGAAAGGTCACTTCATGGAACATTACGATTATACTTTGCTTGTATATAGTTTTGGTAAACATAATCTTCATGATGATGGAAAAGTCGGCGATTACACGCTAAGGAAAATTGTACCATGACCATGACCTCTTGCATGACTGCCTTTCAACGGCTCGCATCGCAATTTTTTTTTTCGTTTTTCTGCTACCGACAGCGGACTGACCTTTTTGGAAGATTAAGCTTCTCTTATCAGAACAGTTACCCCAATACTTTCACGAGTATCTCCCGAATGAACCAACACACGAACGAACAGGATGGTACTTAAAGCTTCCGGTCATTACTTGATCTTTGACTGCGAAAAACCAAAACAGGAACTTTGGTGAAGTTTCAAATCAAGGTCAAAATCGGTTAAAAAAATAACTAAAATCACACATTTCGGAGAAACCTCAACGATACCAAAAACTCAAAAGAAAGTATATGACATGATTACATCGGGCAAGGACATCATGATTCAAGTTCGAGGAATCTGCTATCAATCTAAGAAACTCATTTTGATCTGCAATAACCTTAAACTTTGAATTGAGATTCTAGCTAAATACGTGAACACAAATTACTAAATCAAAACCAAGTAACTAATAATCTTGAGTCCTAATTCGGTTTGAAGTATGGCGAAAGGTCTAGTTCGCTTCTTCGGTTTGTTTGCTTATTCATTCTGTTTTCTTTCAAAAAGTTTCCTTGTCGCTCAACCAATCTAACAAAACACTTAAACCAAGCTTTGCTTGCACCACTTGTCCCGACCCTCACGGACTTTAATCAGTTTCAATCTGGTTTAAGTGCATCTGTTGTACAGTTCAGGAGAATGATTAATGGAAATGGTTTATGAAAATGATCAATGAGAGAAAGCGATTAATTTCTAAAAGATGCCCTAAATCCTCTTCGTTCCAAACAACCCAAACAGACAATTAACATCGAAAGACCAAGTCACGAAAGAGAAAATTCTATCTCAAACTTCATGGTAATTATGATTTGCTTCACGACAGCCATTTCGAATCTTACTCAGTCACCCCTTCACGTTATTCTGACCAGCTTGAGCAATTCTGATTTGTTTTCGAAGACCGGGAGAAGATAAAAAGGAAAGGCCATGAATAAGGAAAAAAAATCTGAAAGCTTTGATAGTCGTCATCTTACGCATTGCGTTGAGAAAGAGAGGAAGTACTTCAGTGCATTTTTAAGTGGGTTCAAAACTTCATACCTTGTTCAAAGTCATGAACATTGTAGGAATGGAACTAAAAGACATGTTTTAAATGTGAATTTCAAAACTCGAGACCTTTGGAAACAAAAGGACAATGTACTACTGATAGATCTAGCCAAAGAGTTTCTTTGGCACC